GACTGTTACGTAGACTTTGATTGTGGTGGAACTTACTGCAGTTACTGACTGATTATATATTGTGTGCAATCCTTACCTTGGATAGAACAAAGTAATCAATAGGAGGCTGTCATCTCTGGCAGTGCCACTAATGACTGTTATCTACACTTTGGTGGTGATGGAACTGACTGATTACATATTGTGTGCAATCCTTACCTTGGATAGAACAAAGTAATCGATAGGAGGCTGTCATCTCTGGCAGTGCCACTAATGACTGTTATCTACACTTTGATGGTGGTTGAGCTTAGCAGACTGATTGCATATTGTGTGGAATTATTACCTTGAAGAGAACAACATTATCACAGTCTTCTGTTGCACCATGTATTTTGATACCCAGACCATCTCTCTGCCTAGAAAGTAATCAATAGGAACCTGTCATCTCTCGCTGTGCCACTAATGACTGTTATCTACACTTTGATGGTGATTGAACTTAGTTACTGACTGATTATATATTGTGTGCAATCCTTACCTTGGAGAGAACAACATTATCGCACTCTTCTTCTACCCAGACCATCTCTGCCTAGAAAGTTATAACTAGGAGCCGGACATCTCGCGATCCCACTAATGACTGTTACATACACTTTGATGGTGGTTGAGCTTAGTTACTGACTGATTATATATTGTGTGCAATCTTTACCTTGAAGAGAGTAAAATTATCACACAGGAGGTTGTCTTCTCTCATGATGCCACCCATGATTAATGGTCCTGGTGGTTGTGAAACTTCATTATTGACTATGATTACTTTGTGTGTTGAACAAATTGTGACCTAACATAAAAGTACTAATGAACATCTTTATTATGTATGTGTGTACAATAAACATTATTTAATATTGACTTCTGTATTATTCTGTTTGCTGCTGCTTGCCTCTCACGGTCTTCATCTGAATTCAAAAATTCAACAAGTGTGTTTACAGATTCCATCTTGACCAATTAATGAACTTTAGGAAAACTTTTGAAAAACGTATATGCTCATTATAATTTTTTCTTGGTCAAAGCCACCGTCCTAAATTATTGAGCAATCAATTTGGCAATAGATGGCATAAAAGGTCAATTATACGTAAATTCTCAGTCCCGGTGTAAAAGGGTAGGTGGTCCTATCAAATTTTGGTCCTACTCTCTATTGATTTATATGGTGACCTAATTACAATTATTTTGCTTATTAGTTATACACAGTCAGGGCCGGTAAGGGCCGTAAGGAAAGGGGACCATAATCCCCAGGGGACCATAATTTCTTTTACACCGGCTCTGTTCCTTGAAAATATATAGATTGAACGCATATTGGAACAGAATTAACATAAAACTCATGATTAATTTTCAATCTATTGAACACTGTTGAAGTGATAATATGAGTTGCTATGAAGATAAATGAATAGATGGCAGTGCAGGTTTTGGTCTGCCAGATTATTATTTTTTTTATTTATCATATGGAGACACAAAATTAAAATTAAAAACACAAATCTAATTCAAAACGAGACTTAAATCTACATAGCAATGCCCAAATTCTGATCAAATAAAACCAAATGCATAATCCGCACGTTTCGTTTGATCCGTAGCCTCGATAGAGCTAGGAGACCTGCTAGTTGCCAACTCCATTCTCTAACAATTGTGGACTCGACTCTTATCTGCTACATTATTCCAACAGAATCAATACAATCTACCACAATGACGTCGGGCGAAGCTAGCTTTCAGTCAGTGAGGGTGCGATCGCCAAAAGATTTCGGTTTTCAGTCGGGGGAGGCATTCCATTGTGGCATATAAACAAGGCAAAAAATAAGATTTATCTTGAATTTTACAAAAATTGATGCAACTTCCTTCAAAATTGAGCTTGAAGCTTCAAATAAGCATTTTAAAGCTCTTTTTCTCATGGTTATATTTTTATTGGTTATGGGGTGGGGGGGGGGGGGGTGGTGCGATATTTGTTCATATATTGTGCGGGGCGTCAAAATGTCTTCCACAGCTTGAAGTAATGTAACTGGAAAGGTATGATACGGCAACGGCCGTGTTAGTTTTCAATACACGGTAACTGGACATCTTAGCTCTCCATAATTTTCCGCATCACCGCATATCAGTTATCTCATCTGTAAAACCAAAATCCCAGTTGAACTTTGGTGCCTACGCATGGTACATAAACAAATGATCATGCTCCATATTTTCGATGTCAAACTACTTATATAGTTCAAATATCAAAGCATTACGTCAAATCTACAGTAGTTTAGTTTGATGAAAACTAAAAATATCGAAATCGACAGCTTCAACACAGTAGTAGATTGATTTTTACTAAAACTGCACAACGCGATTCACTAAAAATCACATAAATCTTGTCCCTCGCAAATGACATACCCTATTTAGAGGTGATATTTGATGAATTTGCATTGAAAGCTAGATTATGGATTGATTCTTGACAATCTATACCAAGTATGTGCTATACTTACAAAATACAAAGTAACACTGGTGTCGATCCCTGACCAAAATGTGCCATTTTCACCAGTATGGATCTTCAAAACATTACAATAACATCTCAGGATGAAGTCTTACCTCAACAGACATGACAGAGTGTCTCAGATAGGCTAAATGTTTAAGTACAAACTTGTCAATGTCTTTTATAATTTTGGCATTTACCCTAAAATATAAATTGAAGACCAAGCTCTCCAGATTAATTTGACACCAGCAGATTTAAACTCCATCCATGGTTGATCCATGGCAAATTCCTCAGTGGTTGAAAGAACAAAGACAAAGAGGAAGCTTTCCTTTAAAAAATTGGCATTTAACTGATTCATGTCTGCAATTTTCCTATCTGTCATTCGTAACATGGCCACCGTGCCTATCTTGTCGTACCTCACTGACTTTATCAATTATTCTTTGATAAGGTTCATTAAGACCAGTTGGGAGTGTTGTGAAGACCTTGGTTATAAGTGGCCACAGAAGAGGAAATTCAGAGAGTTCAAGTAGGGTAAATTTCAGGGCCACTCAACTGGGTCATTCAATGCTATGATCCGATTTTCAAAGAGTTCTGTCACCCGTGAGGAGGTGTGCCACCCTGTCATTACTACACATACTGAAAATGACCATTCTACTGGCGTTGGAATCTTGGAGTGCCGTCCAGGAAAGCCATGACGTGTTCAACCGCTGAGAAGTTGGTAAAAGTCAAATTTCGCATTTGTTAATAAAATCTGTCCTGAGCATTCAACCATGGAAAGATTTTGAAACTGGTGTCAAATTAATCAAAAGAGCTTGCTCTTTAAGAAAGAAGGTACCACATTTCAATGATAGTTGAATGTACTAAGTAAAGGGTAATACATAGTCACAAAAAGAGTTAAATCCCTCCAAGACATCTATATGCTATTGGAAGACATCTATGTGCTTGTGAAATAATTACTTTATCTATTTCTGAGATATAAACATATTCAAAAACCGGAACATACGCACTACACACTGGCCAAATATTAAGTTAAATTTTGATGGATAAAGTGACAAAATCAAAAAAGACAAAAATTCTTACCAACTTATTCCACCGGAAGTTTGGCCATGCTGAAACGAAGACATCATGTCTTCGTTTCCAGTATGATGTCTTCGTTTCCAGTTGATCCCAAGTGACCCTGACAAGCTCGAAGGACTTGCGTACCAAGACAATAAACCCATGTGAGAGACTACGTTCCAATATTGGTGAATTTTGATAATTTCCAACGTTAGAATCTAATTATGAACGGATGAAAGGATCATAAAATGTCAAACAATTAATTAGACCACAATAGTTTATTCCGGAATGCAATCTGCTTCTTTGTCAATAAACGAACATTCAGCCTGAACATTATGCTCATCGGAATACAGACATACATGTAATTGCAACTGAACAAACCATACAATATCATCATATAATACCAAGAAACCGTGTTCGTTTCACACCGACACTGCAGTCAAGTCAAGTAACTAAGTCAACATTCAATATTCGTATGTTCATCAATACAGGGTGGTCCAAAAAATTTGCAACTTTTTAAAAGGCTAGAAAAGTATCAAAACATAAGGGTATTGCCATAAAAAATTATTTACAGAAACTTAAGGATAGGCATATTTTACCATTTAAATACTAAAGCTAAACTGGACTTAAATTTTTTTATCAGATCTTTGAATATCAATGGTCTATTGTTCATGTGTCCGAGATTTACCGTTACCGTTACAGTGGTGCCACAGTAAATAAACCGCTGGTTAATTATTTTCAATATACCTATCAGCAAACGTGTAAATGATAATTTTGACGTTCTGTTACATACAAGTATTGGTTAAGCAATCTTGGGGATATGGCCTAAAGGATAGGTATCGATATGGTGAACTGTATTCATCAATGTTTTGCTCTTAAACCAATTATTGAAAACATTCTGTAAAAAACACGGTCCTTTATGTAATGTTGACTGATTGGCAACAATTTAATGCAAAAATTATTTATCTATATTTTATATAACTGTTTTTGTTCCAATTTTTTGTTTTTTTAGTGCAATTGTTTTTGTGCCTTTCTACTTATTCTTGTGAATGAAATAAAATGTCTCCGAACCTTGTTGGAACAAAATAGCATATACAACAGTTTCTTAAACCTCTCAATATAATAGTTATACAAAGGAAATTTTGGTTGATTTAAGAAAAAGTAACCAAAAAACTTAAAACAAAACCTCCCAAATAGATAAAAATTAAGATAAACCTTTTATATAATTTACAAGATACTTTCTTAAATTCAATTAAACTTTCCTTTGTACAATTATAATATTGAGAGACCTAAACACGTTGTGTTTATGTCGTTTTGTTCCAACGAGATTCGGATAGATGTTTCATTTCATTCCGAACATATGATACCAAGAACGAAAGAAGTGTCTGATTTCTAAAACAATATAGAGAAAAGGATATTATATATTTCAAATTATAATGTTACCATCCACAAGATGACCATTTAATTGTAAAATTTTCAGAATGTCTTGATGACTAGTTTACGAGAAACGCGTGTTCAAAAAGTTCACCATATCGATACCACTCCTTTCTGAATTTCCACTATGTCCAGGCTGTATACCACTACTTCAAAAGATGTACCGTGTTATTTGTCATTTTTCATTATGAACCAACCATAAATGTATTTTTTCTTGTTTATATATGGAATGAACTTTCTGTTTTCGAGTATTGACAGATGGCACTGCATTTACTTTTTCATGATATGGAGCAAACGCACGACGGTGCTCGGCGGTAGGCGTTCCGGCGGTTGGTGTTCAGTGGTCGACGTCTGTAATAAATGGCAGGTGGTGCCATTTTGTATGTAAATGCCTTGTTGCAATTTATTGTCGCGTCGACTTTATTCGATCTCCTTGGATCAAAACTGACGCTCTATGCAAGATAATTCTCTAAATTCACAATGATTCAAATAGGTACGATGTTGTGTTTGCGAAATTGTGCTTGGACGGCTGGTTCTAACCTCTCTCGGTATTTCAGAGCAGTGTTGTCAACAGGTGCTAACTTGTTTTGTTTGTTCTGTGAGCTGTCCGCTCCTTTTAAATGATGCAACAAGGCATAGTCGGATGTAATATTCTTGTATCTATACCCATTCGTGAAGACATACGGAAAGTGAACGCCATTATGTTCTACTTTATTGGCTTGTACAATGTGTTTAGACCTCCTCATATCTGTATACAAAGCACCACGTTTTGTATTTGTGAATATCTCTTGTTTGTATGCATGGACGTCACTATTGTTATTTGGAGTATAGAATGCATTCATGAATCTATACCCTGCAGTGCCTGGTGATGATATATTTTGTATTAGTTCTTGAAATGTGTCTCCTACACGGGGTATAATGAACTCATCTAAGTCGAGGAAGGCAATATATCTAGTTTCCCACATTATTCTATAGAGACAATCATTGATCAATAAACTTTGACCGTAATAATGTAGTTTTCTCCTTCTTGGTTTATATTTCCTTATGTTCCAATTCAGTAGTTCAACATATCCTTCATTGACGTATTCTTTTAAGATTGGCATTAGATCCCCTGATATATCTTCGTTGTAAATAAGTACCTTTTCCACCCCCAAGACTCTATACATTTCTAAAGTTTCAATAAGTTTTCGTGGAGGGATTCTGCCATATATTGGACCTTCAACACAAACACAAAACTCTTTCGAGAAATTGTTAGGATTTTGAGATATGTTTTTAAAATTGTTTTCTACTTTGAGAATATTTTCCTGTTTGTTGCAACCTGCTGTTTCGTTAGCAGTTAGTCCTACATATACAGGTAACCCATCGCCTTTTACTTCACATTTATAGAAGAAGTCCTCAAGCTGTGTGTACCTCAGAGGACTTAAGTTGATTGGAGTTACTTGGAATACTTTTTGACACGAACTTTCTCCATTATCATAGACGATCCAACAATGAAGCGTACTACTGTAGTTTTGTCTCTTCTCTTGAAAGCCTAAAATCCTTATAAATGGTTTTGCGAAACGGTTGTCATAATAAGCGGAATATAATTGTATCGATGTCCCCTTTACACGTTGCCATGGCAACTTGGAGCGCTCCTTAAAGTTGCCATACGTTCTATTATTATTCTGAATTTGTAAATTAATTACATCATTCACAGATTGCGTAGTTGAAATCTGATGTTCACTAAAACGTTTACTTTTGTTGAAAATGTTTTCCTGCTCCATGTCACCAATTCTGTTCTTCAGTACGACATTAGTCAGAATGAAAACGAGGACGAATACCAAAAGGAAGACTTTCTTGTGATAATACAGGAATCCGCATTGTTTATTGAGCATAACTGAAATATAAAAGAGTAATTTATATCAACAATATACACAAATTGTAATTGCAGGTCATCATATTAAACCATGACATCTCATTTTTTCTAATCCATGAGATGGTATGGCATTGTGGTTATATTTGTTGACCCGAGAGAGTTTACGACAAGAGGTCACTGAATTTGTTTCATTTATTTATACAATTTATAAAGTGTTCACTTGGCTCCCAAGGGGAACGAAGGTCTTGAATGAAGACTTTCCAATACTAACTCACTTTTTCTGGAGTCAATCAAACCAGAAACCATTCAAAAAACCACATTGCAGTATTATATGGAATATACATTCATATTTCAGATTTAATCGTTTGGCCAACAAATGACGTGTGGCCTTTGGTATTTTGAAGATTTTGATGCTTCTCTGGCAACCTATTTTCGAAAAATCTCTAAATCAAAAGAGGGCAGAAGTTTACTGCACATAAAATGAACTATCCTAATGTGACTGCCAGGCTCTGACACTCATGGTATAAGGAGCCAAGTGAATGATGGTGAATAAATACGACAGTCAGCAAATATCAAAGTAAAAACGACAGTTATATATACTCACCCTGTTTGCAGAAAGTGTTTATAATCCAATGGTCCTCTTCCATATAATCTATCCATAGCTGCATCTTTGTGTCTGAACAGCGTAGTTTAGCTTCGTGTACACTGTATTATATATATTTAGTGTATTGATGTGCAGTAGAGTGTAGTATTAGTGGTTTTCATGTGAACTTTTTGTGAACAAGGGATTTATTAGGCTGGATAAAGTACACAGGCGTTACGGCTTTTAAACATCATCAAGCAACGATACGCTCTGCGTTTAATGGTTAATTTTAGTTTATGGAAAACGTTTATTAAATGAATAGTGGCTCATCACGAACAAGCTCTGGAGCTTCTCATAACCTTTTCAGTAATCAGATGAAATCTCATTTTCAAAAAGTTCAAAATATTAAATTTTTTTGACATAAAGGAGGAGGGAAGTTAGCGCAACAGATTTTGTACAGTCATATGTTGGATTTCGGCCATTTCCTGGGGATTTAAACAGGTGCATATGTTAGGCGAATATTTTACCTCCAGGAAAATCACTTCTAGAGATGATAAAATAATTTTGACTTTGAGACAGGGTAGATGCAAACAACCCACCCACATGTTTTTTCTGAAATGTTTTCCTGATTTTCAACCCCTTCCATCCTTTCTTTTTTAATTTTTCTTGCATCAATATGTTGTGTTTTGACACACAGTTGATCCCTTAAAAGGAATAAATGATTCCATTTAGATAAAGTGGAAAACAATATTTCCCATGTTATTTTCCCATAGGAAAAATCATTGCTTTCAGCTAAGTTTGGTCACCCATAATGGGTATCTTTAAAACCCCTGAAGGAATCACTTATTCCTTTAAAGTGGTTAACTATGTGTCAAAATGCAACATATTGATGCAAGAAAAATTAAAAAAGCAGGGATGGAAGGGGTCGAAAAATAGGAAAACATTTCAGAAAAATCATGTGGGTGGGTTGTTTGCATCTAACCTGTCTCAAAGTCGAAATTATTTTATCATCTCTAGAAGTAATTTTCCTGGAGGTAATGCATTGGCCTAACATATGCAATTGTTTAAATCCTCAGAAAATGGCCAAAATCCAACATATGACTGTACAAAATCTGATTTTCCATTTTGCAATTTCAAGCATTTTTAAGAGAGAATACATAACACGAGAAATAGATATAATCTTATATAGGTAGCGATCTGAGGCACTTCGATCAGGGTGTTGTCGGGACAATTTCTCTTGTGACTTAGGTTATGTATTTAGGTCTATCTCAACAGATTTTACTGGTCTTATGCGCCGCAAATGGTGCAAAAGATGTTAAAATTGCATTTTCGACCCTAAAATTCAGATTTCTTGGGGGTACATTATTATCTAGCTATAAAACAAAAACTAAACAACCAATGCTTCTTTCTTTTGGTGTTTCTGTTAAGAGTAATCATACTTACAATGCATATGTAAAAAAATGAAGAATTTTAACTTTATTTAAAAACAGCAACATTTTTTCACCCTAAAATTATAGAATTTAGGGGGGTTGAGAGACATTGATTGGTATTGATTTTTTAATTTCTCAATCAATCTCAGTTTAATATCAATGGAACTTTCCTAAAAGTAGCATCAACATGTCCCCAACACATTACCACAAAGAAAAAACTGAAACTCTAACATGTTTTTTTGCCTATAGGGGTCAATTTACCTCTCCCCTCTTTCCCTTTTTAGAAGGGCGTGGCCATATTGGCATGTTCATCTTAAAATATATACTTCATGTTCATATCCAAAAAGAATCTGCTGACATGATAAAGTATCTAATTGGGTAGAGATGTGATTCTTATATCAAAGTAACATTTTATATGTCATTTGAAGAATGTAATCCTATTTTCTTTACTTTATTGTTATATTTACTGGAAATTGTATATTGGATGTACGTTTGGCCCTAAAAGGGCATCAGTACTAATAAAATCCTATTATTAATATCCATCCTCCGATCACAAGGCTTCAAAATCCAGAACATATTCTTCCTTTTTACCCCAAGCGATAAGCAGTTACCATTTCCCCGATTAAGAACTCGCAATCTGATTGGCTGTTGCGGCAGAAATCATGTATAAGTCATTGTGCATAATGAGATCATGTGATTCAGTTAAATCAGGCGCGTCCAAATTGGTTATCGCAGGGGGAAGAAGGAGGCACGTATTCTGAACACCTGCTTAGGAGGATGGTTCATGTCAGGTTATCATTTTTATGTCACCAACAAAAACTGGTGACATATTGTTATGGTCTCTGTTCTTTTTTGACGGTGGTCAGTGGTTGGCGGTTTGTGGTTGGTGGTTGGCAATTGGGGTCTGTAACAAATTCTTACAATTTCCACAACAAATACTGTATAGACTGACTTCAATTGTTTTCAAAATCATCTACATGTTTTCAGATGTTCAAATCTGACTTTATATTTAAGATTTGACCTTCAATGACCTTTTCAAGGTCAGAAAAGGTCTTTTTTCAACTTGCTTCAAATTAACCATTTTTTCAAAATCATCTATAAGTTATCGGAAGTTCAAATCTGACTTAAGGTTTGAGATTTGACCTTCAATGACCTTCTTAAGATTTAAGAATATAGATTTTATCATTAAATGACATTCTAAAAGTCAAAATAGATTTGACCTTTAGTGACCTCCTCAAGGTCAAAAAGGTATTTTTATCTTGTTTCAACTATGTGGTGACATTTTGTCATGGCTTGTTTTACTTGTAGCTAGAGAATGTCTTTGAAATGACATAAGCCTAATACAGTGGGACCTGTGTTAGTGAACACCTTTCTATAGTGAACACCTGTGTAAAATGAACACCCTATTTTCAGCACATACCTTGATTCCAATACCAATTGTCTTTCTGTATTGAAATCTACTAATAGTGAACACATTTTCTGTGGCTCTATAGATGTTCACTGTACACAGGTTTTACTTTATACAAAATACCTTTATATTTAACTTTAATAAACTGATTATCTAATTGCAATTATAAATTGCTATCCATTATTTGCAGGGAACATGTAGCAAAACAATAAGGGAGAATAGTAAGCTATTCAAGGCTTATTACTGTCTGATGTTCTATTTTTAATTAATTTGATTGATTCAATTGATGGCTTTCTCAATCCATTCCAAATTGAGGACAATGATCATTTATACTGCATATCATCTGGAATGCCAACACCCTCTAATTTAGCAGATGATCTCTTAAATGCAGCCTCCAAGGGCACACAAGCCTTTAAGCAATTTATTCAAGACCAATTTGTGCAGAAGGGGAAAAGTTTCATGACCCCATAGAAGAATGAAACTGAAAACATCTGAATTCAATACTGGAGTCAAAAAGGTGAAAAGCTCTGGAAACAAACTGATTGAGATTAGAGCTGAGCGCAATATATTTGGCCAGTTAGTTATGTTTATCAGAGCAGCATAAGTATCAGTCTAAAGCGAATATTGGAATATCCCCTGAGTCCAATACCCTGGGCTCTTGGAACACCTGATGGGCACTTGGTTAAAACAGAAAAGTCAAAATTATTACATGAGCTGGAAACATATAATATCACATGGACCCAAACCAGAAAAAACAATTATAGTCTATGATGGAAATGCATTGTTCCATATACTTCCTGAGCGACCCAAAACATTTGGATTATTGGCAGAGAGGATCCTTCAGATGCTTCCTATAAGAAAGATTCAATTAAAGAACCAGAAGGAATATGCAGGCGTGTCTCCAAAAAGCTAATAATAAAAGGACCTAATACCAGGATTCCTAACAATTGGAAGGAATTCCTTTTAAATGATGAGAATGAAGTTGATCCTTGAAGAATGGAAAAAGATAAAAATGCTCCTAAACTCAAAGAAAGACAGATTCATGTGGTGAGATCTGTACAGTGCACCAGTGATAGAACTACTGTTACACATAGAGTTGAACCTAGTCTGAAATCTTCCCACAAAGAGGCAGATACAAAAATTATACTCCATGCAATTAACATGAAATGAACCTGAAAATACAGAAAAAACTATAGTTGTGAGATCCCCAGATAGCGATGTTTTTGTACTTCTTGTGCACTTTCCAATCTTATTCAAACTCCATTAATTTTCGACACTGGTTGTGCAGACCACATATGACTTATTAAAGGTGCAACAATTAGTGCAGGGGGGTAATTCAACGATCATCAACCAGTGTCAAAATATATTTAAGTTTGGATATTTCATCAAGACTAACACATATTTTTATTATCTACAAAGAAACCCCCTGGATGAACATAATTTCAGCTGATATTCCTCTTGAAACGTGGTGAATCTTAAAAATCAAATATAGAAGCTTTGAACTGAATTTACACTTCTAAATTGAGAGTTTATCCATACATTTTCAGAAAATAGATATGTCAAAGAAAAAGGTTAAGCCAAATATTGACCTGATAGCTCAGAAAAAAGAAAAAAAATCGAATTTTCTCTCTACAGTCCTTGTTGCCCCTTTAATGTAAAGGAAGTAGGAAATGCGCTCTGTTCAGACATTTGTAATGCTTTACCAGCCTTCCATTCATTCACTGGATGTGATTCCTTCAGTGCCTTCGTGAGAAGGGGGAAAGTGTCCTCCCCCCTAAAATTACTTTAGATCTGTAGAATTTCAAAAAGGTTTCGGCACCATTGGAGGGGTCATTAGTGATCAAACCGCTAAATGTGCTGAGAAGTTTACTTGCCAGATGTATGGAAACAAAAAGTGTTCAAATATAAATGAGCTGAGATATACCTTATTCGAGAACAAATTCCAACCCAAATCTGCTCCAAGTGTGATAACAAGCTATGAAGGCACTAACAGTCTAACATAAGCCTCCTACCCCCATGTAAAGATTCATTACAGCAGCATCTGGCAAGGGCCACTTATCAAGCACACGTATGGAAACTTGCCCACATCGTGTTATCATACTAGATGATACTTTAGAAGATCAAAATGAAGAGGAAGTTTATGAAATACAAAGCTTTGTGGATCAAATATATTCTGGTGAATAAAAACTACATTTGTGATGACAGAAATTCATACAATGAGTAAAATTAATATTATGACTGAGTCGTGAACTATGTATTAGATAATATTCAACTTCAGATTTTTAATATTCTTAT